CACTACTGTAGAGAATAGCCCAAGGGATAGGACATCTGGACCAGCCCCTTCAGAAGAGAGTCCCACGGAAGAGGTGACCTGAAGTCACTAAAACAGCCCATTCTTCAGATGCCACCTGTCTTGCCTTCTTGGAGGGGAGGGGCATCTGAGGAAGGGTGTCCAATGACAACCTCGGAGTCTTGGTAGGAAGACCTTGGAATTATTACTTCTCATTTCTCCTATTTATGCAAGCCCTTAGTTTCGGGCAGTGGTGTCTAAGGACCAGTGCTGATAGCAAAGGGCAACCAAGAGTGGGGCAATCAGACACAGTTACTGACTAGCTGCTCTCTGTTGGCTTAAATATATAGATCGTATTCAAAGGCAGCAACTCCACACATTGCAACAGTCCAGAGTGGTAGTTACTGAAATATGAATGAACGTTGCAAGGTTTATCTTGGTCTCTATGCGTCCTTAATATTAGCCTAACTTAATACAAGCAGGCTACCTCAATCAGATACTGGGACAAACCAAGGATACTCACCAATTGATCCTTTGGGACAGGATATCTCAGGTTTCCCCTTGGCCTGGGGTAGACCACGAGGCTTAAAGGATTGGGATAGCTAGATTGATGTTACCAGAGTGTGAAAAATGGTTGAAAGCAGTTTTGTTCAGGCAGAGCAATTAATGAGGTCATTTGGGTCAGTAACTATCCAGGAATACTCACACTAAGAAGGGGTGTGTGTGTGTGTGTGTCCTTTTCCCAAATAGGATGAACTCCACTTCACCAGACCGATGAACCACTCACAAACATTATCTCTGACTTGTCTAATCAAGTCTCAGTTTATTAGGCTTCACCTGGCATATTATCTTGTCAGGCAAGACTAGATCACTGGCTGCCACACCTATATTTGACGAAAAGGAGAAGTAAAGCTGGGTGTCGCCCGCCGCGTATGAGTGACTGCTCAGCTCTCATCACCAGATCACCTCTCCCGCTGGCTTTGCGTGAAAAGCAGGGGGAATCCAACAGAGCCCGGAGGAACCTCAAAGCTGAGCTGCTACGGAGATGGGGGTAATTTCTAAAGGGATTCCAAGGAGGCAATTCCTAAAGGGCAGGAATGGTTGGGAGTAATATATTACAAATAAAGAACATTCTTGTATTGCACCCATTTCGTTCCTGTCTCCCTCTGCGTGGGACAGATTCCTGCACCTGCCCTGCAGGTGACTGCTAACAACCTCAACCACCTTGCAGGGTGCCACCACTGGAAGTCTCCCCAAGGAAAATTCCTCCTTTCCCAGGAGAATAGAGAAATCGACAAACGCGCCCCCATTGGGGGGGATAGATAGATAGAGTGGGGGGGTAGAGTGGGGGATAAACCCTCCCGCCTCCTTCGGAGGAGTCTCTTGGTGCCCGGGAGGTGGGGCGGGGGCGTCCCCTGCGGCGCCCGGGGTCTCTGGGACGGAGTTAGCTGGAGGGGGCTGAAGCCCGAGCTCCACCGGGGCGGAACCCAGCCAAGCCCTGCCCCCGCTGCGCCTCCCGGGACGCCCCTTGCAGGTCGGCTGGACCAGGAACTGCCGGCAGGAGCCAATGAAGGGCCGGGGCCGCACCGACGGCACCTCCGGCCGGCCTTGCCAGTTGCGTTCAGCTGAGCCAGGCTGAAGCGAGGCCGCGGGGCTGGAGCGCTGCGCCGGCCCGGGAGGCTCGGCTCGCTTCTCGGCATGCTTCGGCGGGCGCCTTTCCTCGCCGGCCATGGGTAAGGAGCAGACGGTTGGGCGGCGGCGGGAAGGAGGTTGAGCCCGTGGCCTCCTCGGGCTGCCATCCGCTAGGCTAGCCGAGAGGCAGGAGGGAAGCAACCGGCGCGGAAACCTTAAACCGGCGCGTCCCTCCCAAGGCCGCTCTCAGCTCCGGGGCAACTTCGCGAGGCCGTGGCGCCGATCGGGTCCCGGGTCGGCAAGAGGAGGTTTCTGCCGCGGTAGGAGGGTGGGGAGGCCTGCCGTCCATCCAGGGCGAGAGGGCCTGCTTTGCGCAGCAGGGCCGCTGGTTTTCCCAGGAAAGCAAAGCAAAGCAAAGGCGGCGAATACGATCCGCCCGGAGTTCTCACGCGTCCTGTCCGAGCTTTATGAATGCCAAAGGGGCTGGGTGTAACCGGCCCTAGAAATTGCGTTCACGGACGAAATCTCGCCCCACAACAGTCCAAATGAAGAGTAACCCGGTGCTTCTTTACTCCGAAGAGAAAGTCGTGAGTGGAAGGCAAGGAAGTGCAGATTTTGACGTTGTGCAGCCTTAGGGGATCACACACACTCACCAGGTAATAAACCGGGAATTGAAGAAAAAGGCGCCCTTCAAAATAAAAATGAATAGGGTCCAGGTTGCGGAAGAAGAGTCCGTACTGCAAGGTGGAAAGAATGAAGCTAGTCTAAGGACTGTTTTGAGCAAATCTTGTGCACATTTAATGAGAAGGAGCAGATTCCACTGAAGGCGCGGCCCTGAATTATCCTCCGAGGAAGGAAAAGGAAACCCGGAAAGCTACAACGCTACGCAAGCCTTCAATGGAGAGCAATAGGAGTAACTGTTAAGAAAAACTGCCAAGCATGCTGCTGGCCGGAAAAAGGCCACCATGAAAAAGACATTTGCTGAGGATGGATTTCGGGCCTGACTAATTTTATTTTGATGCTCAGCGCATTGGTGTCTGCTTTGCCCCCCTCATTCCGACCCTTTCAAAAAGAGACCCTCTTTCTCTCTGTGTATATGTGCTCCTCTGCAAAAATAAATCATTGATAACCTTGACTGGAACATGTTGCCACTTTCGATCCTTTTATCTGTTGCGCGCGTAAATAAAGTTTACACCAAAGAAGAAAGAGAAACCACAGATCTAGGGACCCGAATCAATCTCGAATTCAGAGAGATTTTTCTAGAGGCAGACAGGTGGCAAGACCAGTCCCCGTGTGTCTTGTCAAATAAAGGTTACACTTGGTCGTACCAATAAAACCCATGGTCCTAACCCTAACCCATTAGCGTTCCCAACAAGTTCAGTGTGGCGTAATTGCTTAAGTGAATCTCGCTCTTTCGCCCTCTCTTACCTGTCTATCCGGATAGAAAAATTCAGCCCGTCCATTGCCTCGGTTTTTCCGTCCCAACCCATTGTCCCCATCCTGATTTTCCAAATAACCGGCGCTAGTGCCCCAGGCAACGGGACCCGACCGCGACCCATGGATGCCACAATTCATTAAGCTCCTTCCGCCAGATTTCCAGCGCGAAGCCTTAGCTTCTGCCGAAAGCCACCGCAAGGCTGTCTCTCGGGGGGCCGGCGGTCAGTGCAGCCCAGCTAGGCGCTCCCAGGCTAACCAAGCAATTGCACATGAGAAACCGTGCAACTGAGGAGGCTGCCCTAAGACCCGCAGGAGATAAATTCATGCAGGCAGAGGCCGAGTGCGTATCTGCAGGACTCAATTCCACCCCGCTCCTACACCCCGCTCCTACAGTAATGGGAATAAAGCAAACCTAACACCCACAAGAGGCTCCCCAAAACCCGTGTTTTATTATACCTAGATTCTTTAGAAAAATAGGAGCCGTATAGATATATGATTTTTCTCAGTAAGTACCCTTATTACTTCCAGGGCTACTTGCATTAGTGGGATTTTGCTCGAAAGGGCATCGCTCTTAGTTCCGAATCCTTTACGCTTTTACGAACATGCATTTTTTTTGAGGTTTCAAATGTTTAATATCAGGGTGCTGGTGGCATTGGGGACGATTATAACCTTCCATCCACGTTTCCTGAAGAGTTGGAAAGTATAATTTCCCAGGAGAAAGGTGACTTTTAAATTGTGCTTGGGAGGATGCTCGTGAGAAACGACTAAAACGGGCAAGAAGTTGGAGACTTATCAAAGTCGTCCTTTATTCGGATGGAATTGAGCCGGGATGCAATTCTTAACTTGCAACCTCGCAGTCGGTAAGACTTCAATGCACGGAGTGGGGAACCTGGCGGTCATTATCTGGCAGGAAATCTGAACTGATCTCATGGAGAGATAGTATCTTTTCCGGCTGGCTCTCCGTAGCTTGCTGGACACTTATCTCTGCAGGGTGTTGAGTGGATGTCCCCGAAGAGCGGAGCAGAGTGGTGGGATGGTGGGAGACCGAGAACCAGGCAAGGGGCTATTTGCCTTTTCCTCCATGAAGGGAAGAATGAACTAAGGCGAAGTGTCCTTCAACGCACCTTAAACTCGGGAACCTTAGAAACAGGTGGGGCGCCCTTGCAGGAAAGGCTGCTGTCCCAGATATTTCCAAAGCCCCTTTGAAATGAATGGGAATAGGAGAGTGCACCCTAAAGGGGTTCCACTTGGACCGCGAGCTCCTACTGTCTTCATCCGACGAGGGCTGGGAGGCAGCGGCTGCAGACTTTCGTCGAGGTTCCTCTGCCCTGCAGGTGGCTACGGATCGCCTTGGCCACTTTGCCAGACCGCCAACTACGGGGCTCCACCAAATTGAAGTTTGTTTCTCTCCTTGAAGAAAAGCGCAAGGGACAATAGTTTGCTCAAGCCCCCCCCCCACACCCCCCGTTGAAAAAGAGATAGAAGGGGGAGCACTCCTCCCTCCCTCCCTCCTTCCCTTCCACGGAGGGGCCTCCTGGTGTTGGGAAGTTGGGGCGGGGGGCGTCGGCCGTGGGCGCCCGGGGTCTCTGAATTGGAGTCAGCTGGTAGGGGCTGAGCTGCCAGCCCCGCCGGGGCGGAACCCAGCCAAGCCCTGCCCCGCAGCACCTCCCGGGGCCTCCCTTGCAGGCCGGCTGGACCAGGAACTGCCGGCAGGAGCCAATGAAGGGCCGGGGCTGCATCGGCGGCACCTCCGGGCTTGACGTGGGAGACGCGTCAAGTTGAGCCGAGCTGAAACGGGCTCCGCCGCTTCCCTCCCGGCAGCAGCTCCACGCGCGGGTCTGGGCCGGCCTCGACTCCCAGCTGGCCCGGGAGCTCGGCTCACCTCTCTATGCGCCGGGCGGAGGGACATCGGCGGGCGCCTCTTCTCGCCGGCCATGGGTAAGGGCAGGCGCTCCGGCGGCGGGTTGGAAGGAAGAGGAGGAGGAGGAGGAGGAGGAGGAGGAGGAAGCGGTCTGGAGTCTCGCGCTGCTCTCGGCAGGGAGGCAGCTGCAGGCGGAGGGGGATCCTCGGCCTCCTCGGTCCCAGGGACCCGGGGCCAGCCGCTGGAAAGGGATGCCGGCTGGTCCCGAACAGGCAAGGCACCACTTTCAGCCGCGGTAGGAAGTGGGGCGGAAGGGGGCCATGCGGGATAGAGTGCCCGCGGGCGGCAGTAACCTTGAGGCGGCTAAACAGAGCTGGTTTGGATGGGAAGTCCGCTTCGTCCAGCCTTGCTTCTCCCCGGATCAGGTAGAGAGAGAGAGAGGTCTCTGGAGAGCTCCTCTTCTCCTCCTTTCAGAGAAAACTCTCTCTGGGCCTAGAGATTTCAATTAGCAGTTGCGATTCCATTTACTGTCTTAGGTTTACTCACCTCATCTAAGTTGGGCCTTTTTTTTTTTTTTGCTTTTAACCACTTAGTAAGATTAATATAAATCTAGATATTGTACACAGCACTCATATTACCATTATAACAATTCATATTACATAAGACACCATTTCTCAGAATGATTTAAGATGTAGATGTATTTCAAAATAAGAATATAATGTGCCTGCCGTCTTACAGTATAAGACTGATTAAATATATTCTAAATATATTTAGTTCATATGGTGCTAGATATTGTGGCTAAATTATTTTCCACAGATCTTTTAGGGTGCTTTTAACTGCAAATTAAAAAAAAAAGATTACTCGTTGATTTGGCTATTCAGATATTTCCAATTTTGTTGTCTTGAAGGAACTCTGACCTTTTATTTTAACCTATTAAGGAATCACATATATTTCCGATTATCTTTCAATGATAGGAATTCATTTCTATATTTCAGATGTAATCGTTTCCTCCCCCCCCCCCGCAGATAACCATAGGTTAATATCATTGAACCCTCCCTAACCCATTAATATCATTGGCTTTGGTTAACCTCACAGATTTGAAATTTCTTAAACGCCCGAGGATTCATTATATTAAACTATGGGGTTAATATTGTTTTGACACCCACTTAGTAAAGTCCTCCAATGAATGGACTAAATTGCTGGAGAACTTATAAACGTGAAAGCAGCAGATATACCTGAATGTAGGGGTTGGTATGGGAAAGCACGGGGAATTGCTATTCCTTGTAAAATGAACTTTGTTGAGAGGGGAATTGCTATTCCTTGTAAAATGAACTTTGTTGAGAGGGGAATTGCTATTCCTTGTAAAATGAACTTTGTTGAGAGGGGAATTGCTATTCCTTGTAAAATAAACTTTGTTGAGAGGTTACCAGAATCCAAGCGGTACGTTCAAATTAAAAAGCAATTATAAACTTTTGGAAAGGAATAGGACTTCTTCTACTAATGGTTAGCTTTCCGTGCACATGTAGCATTTAAACTATATTGCCCTGCCCTTTGAAGGGAATAGCCAGAGAATTCCACGAGTTACGCCTTATCTCTCCCTCTCTCTCTCTCTGGGCTAATCCAGATAACTGGCTCCCTTCGGTCCATTCCCGTCGCCCTAGGCTATTCTCTAGACCCGTTCGCTGGACCTCGGCGCGTGGCAAGGGCCCCCGGCGCCCTCCTCCCGATCCCTCTCGGCCCACCGTCCCCCCGCTGCAGCGCTGCCTCGGTGGCCGGCCTTCTAGTCAGAGCTCCCGCTTCCCTCCTTCTTCTTCCGCCTCTATTCCAGAGCAAACGTACGGCGAAGTGAACCAACTCGGCGGCGTCTTCGTCAACGGGAGGCCGCTGCCCAACGCCATCCGCCTGCGGATCGTGGAGCTGGCCCAGCTCGGCATCCGACCCTGCGACATCAGCCGGCAGCTGAGGGTGTCTCACGGCTGCGTGAGCAAGATTTTGGCCCGCTACAACGAGACCGGCTCCATCCTCCCGGGCGCCATCGGCGGGAGCAAGCCCCGCGTCACCACCCCCAACGTGGTGAAGCACATCCGAGACTACAAGCAGGGCGACCCGGGGATCTTCGCCTGGGAGATCCGGGACCGCTTGCTGGCCGACGGCGTCTGCGACAAGTACAACGTGCCTTCGGTGAGCTCCATTAGCCGCATCCTGAGGAACAAGATCGGCAGCCTTTCGCAGCCCGGCGCGCCCTACGAGGCGAGCGGCGGCGGCGGCAAGCAACCTGCCCCGCAGCCAGCCCTGCCCTACAACCACATCTACCAGTACCCTTACCCCAGCGCCGTGTCGGCCTCCGCCGCTAAGATGGGCGGCCACGCCGGAGGAGCTCCCGTCTCCGCGGCCCACGTCGGCCTCCCGCGCTCTTGGCCCTCGGCGCACTCGGTCAGCAACATCCTGGGCATCCGCACCTTCATGGAGCAAAGCGGTGAGTGGGTCTGAGGCGGCCCCCCGGGGCCCAGGGAGGAAACGGGGCGCGTCGAGGGGCTCCAGGTAGAAGCAGCCCCGTCCAGCAGCCGAGAGAACGGAGTTGCTGTCTCTGGCGGGCTCAGTAAGCGTCGCCAGCCTGTTTGGCGGGGCGCTTTATAGAATACAAAAGAAAAGCAAGTCCCTGATTCGCCGAACGGGAGCCACGACTTAGGGGAGGTTAAAAAACAATAATAATAATACCAATTTCTAGATCTCTTTTGTGAATGTATTTTCAATTAAGAAAGAGGACTGTGGGCAGATTTGATAGAACTCAGGCGTATCCTTATTGCATTTTCTTTAATTTTATATTTCAATGCCGTGGCTCTGGAAATGACTGCTTATTACTATACAAAATGTGTGTTTCTATTTGTCTAATGCATGTGCACGATTCTCAACTTTGAGTCTAGGCGTGTGGTGGCTAATTACTTAACTCCTGAAAACCCCATCGAGATTGTATATTTATCATTCATAGAAACTCATTGTCACGTGTAAGGCAAATGACGTTTACTCAAGAAATTTGAGAAATATCTCTGATTAATATCCCTGATTAGTATTATTTTTTCTAGAGCATGCCCACAGGCCATGCATACTGTGAAGTTCATAGGTTTTATTGTAAGACATCAATCACCACTGCAGGCAGAAGAAAAGATTTGGCTTATAACTGGAGACATTTCAAGTGTATCTGGGTTCATATGTTTTGCAATTCTCAGGAAGTCTTAACAATCCAGTTCTGAATATGTTCATTCTAAAATAAGCCAGCATTAGTCATGATTATATTTCATATATTTCTTGGTAATTTTGTTGTTCATTTCTGCTCTGAACAAAACTATGTACGCCTTTGATATTCAAGAACATATTTTACTAAGCTTGTCGAACTCCTGGCTGTGTTCCTTAAGAATAAAGGTGTAGCTTGCAATGACCTGCTTCTCCAGGCCATTCTAAAAGACAGTCCTTGGTGTGTCTGTGCTGCTTCCCCCATAAGAGGACATGATCCTGGGCCATGTAGGCCTGGGGTAGAAGATGACCTCTTCAGATTTTTGAACCCAGTCCTCTGAACAGCTTCAAAACCAATTAGGGCTGAATAAGCGGCTCTCACATCCCATCTTCATAGTTGCTCATTGCTTAGTGTCTCATTGCTTCCTGGGAGCTTTTGCTGCTGCTATAACAACCTGGAAGGACAAACTTCGGCAGGCAGAACTCTGGCTGCTGTTGCAAAAAAAGGCCTGGACATCTTGAACGTCTTATGAAAAAATGTGGAAAATATTTTCGTAGCGATGAGAGATTGCCAACCACAAACTCTGAGCCCTTACACTCCCCTCTCCCTTTAGAAAAATAGAAAGAAAAGAAAAAGTGGTCTCAAGAAACAAGTTCATATCACAATTATTTTCTGAAAGATCAAATATCTGACAGAAGGTTTCTTTCCCACTTTTTATACTATTACTGGCCTTTCAGTTGTTTTACACTATTTTATACTATTACTTACATTTCATATTTCTGTCTTCTCATGGGTTCTACAATTGCGGGAGATACCAATTATCCACAAACTCTTAGACAGAGGAGGCTGCAGAGTCTTCTATTTTTAGACTGTAGTTATCTACTTTGTTTTGTTACTAGGAAACCTTAAGTTGTCGTTTAATTTAATTTAATTGTTGGGAAGTTTGTGAAGGAGAGAATGTTCCACTTTGCGGCTTCAAAATGAAACCAGCAAGGGGCTTGAAAGTTCTTCTTTATAACTCAATAACCCATCTTGTAATAGATAGTCATGTAATTTTTTTTTCAAAAGTACCACCCGTGTTTTAGATTACAGATTTTCAGGTATCCTTATGCACGACCATCAGGTCTTTGATTCTGGTAGTCCCAGTGGTATCTGGATGTGTTGCAATTAGTTCCATCATCCTCAGACTGAACAGTAAAAAAAAAACCAAACAATTTAATGAACCTATTCACATGACTTAGGTTTAATTTGCTAAAAAAAAAAAAAAAAGGAATGGTTAGACAGTACCAGCTTCTCCTGTAAATCAATTTTAACCGTGCTGAAACTCTATTAAAAGGATGCCAGACACAGACTCCTTCCCATTTTCACTCCAAAAGCACTTGGACATTTAAGATCTTTGTATCTAAATCACTGTAATCCTGTTTTCCATTTATAATAACACTCTCTTGAGAGTCTCCTAAATGATATGAGAGCCAAAAAACCTGGTTCATGTAATGAAGTAGGCATGGAGGTGGATAAATATGTTTTAAATGAAATGCTGGCAAAAGCTGTTTGCAATTTTAACTGTCTCCTCTCTCCTATATAGAACCTCTATATTGCATTCAGTTTCAACCTTGAGTTTTACCTTGTGTAGGTTGGTCATAAGACATTTTGTGACACTGTCTTCTGAAAGCTCAGCTTCCTCTCCATTCACTAATATGTTTTGTTGAAGTGCAGCGATGCTGGAAATTAGTCTTTCATCAATAAATCTGGATTGAATTTATTGCTAGCTTTTTATACAAGATTAGGGCATTGCAGTATGGGCAAAACAAAAATCTGTCTTATACAAATCCTTTAGCCTTAGGGAAAATTAAACCCTTTAGCCTCAGGGAAAATTGAGAGGGGGAAACAAACACTGGGGGATGGGGGTGGGGGTGGAAAGAAGAGGTCGCCACTGAACCTCCTTCCAGTTCTCTAATAAAGCAAATGTTTGGTGTTATCTTTTCCTCTGCAATTTGGCATGAGATTCCTCTTTACCTGCATCCTTAAAAAAGCCCACATCACTCTGATTTGATGTGAGGCCCAGACAATGTCCCTGGAGCCTAATGGGTTATTTTTGTTGACCTCTATAGCGACTTCATAGAGTTTAACAGAGGTCTCTGAAAAGGTGAGTTATCATGCAGGAAGTGGATGTGGGATTCCCATAAGGGAGCCGGTGGGTCTTGGGACAGACAGGCCACCCTTTTTTCCAGCTGCTAATATATTCCCCGATCTCTCCCACCCTAGGTGTTCTAGCTGGGACAGATGGTTCTGCCTATCCTCCCAAACTCGAAGACTGGCCAAGTGTGAATAGAACCACCTTCCCTGCTGCCGGGCATGGTGTCAATGCACTTGACAAATCAGCAGCAGAAGCAGACATTAAATACCCCCAGGTAACAGTCCGCCCCCCCTGGGAACTCAAGAGCAGGAAGGGCTGCACAGGGTTGTCTGTGTCTGTGGCCAGGAAGTGGGGAGGGGGGGTGGCAAGGGGGAAAGGTAAAAAGAGAAGCAAAGCAGGGATTATCTCTGTATAAGGAAAACTATGTGGCTGAAATAGCAGTAAACAGGTATAGAACCAAGATCCGTAAAACAAAACAAATTGCAATTAAAAAAAATCCCACTAGATTATTCTAATCTAATTCTCCTTTTAAAGCAAACTCATATTAGGGCAGGCTGAGGGTACCAGGCTGAAGTGGAGGGAATGGAACCCTACTTGATTTCTGCCTTTACACCAAAAACACGGCATCATTTCCCAAGGGCTTTTGGCTGCTTTTAAAAAGCAATGGTCGAGGGCCCCAACAAAGACTAATTTACAACTCAAGTCACCTACTTTGAATTGAAATTATATGTACTTAATGTGATTGTAGCAATGATTACGCCTAATGTCAGATTAAAAACATTATAAATTATAGTTTGGCAACAACTGAGCCTCTGCTTTGTAAGCCAGAGAGGGAAATGACACATGTACACTCCTAGACCAGCTTCTGGTTACTGTTCTTTATATGTTTATCTCTGTAATTTCATAAAAGTTACCCTTTTTTGATAACAATCTATATGTTTCCTTGTACCAGTTTCTGTGATTATTCAAACTGAAATCATGAACTGCATGAACCGAGATCAAGAATTTCTAGTGCAGGTTTTGCTGCGCAGGTTTTTCGCATTCCTCTTCAATTTAATTTAATTCTCTAGATCCTTATTTGGAAGTGAAGTGAACTTGAAAAGATAATTTAATTTACTTCCCCATTCATGTAATTAGAATCAGAGCAGGAATGGCAAATCCATGCTGGAGTATGACCTCTCTTCCTACAGCTCCCCATTTTTCCACATGCATTTTTTTTCTTCTTTGCAGCCCCCTCCTGGGCTCTCAGCGGTGAGTCCTTTCCTGTCCCCTTGTGCATATCCCTCCTCAAACCAACCTGCTGTATATGGAGGGCCAGGAGGGAGCTACCTAAGTCCATCTCATCACCACTGGCAGACCCAAGGTAACCCCTTGGCTCATCACCACAGTCCTGGAGTAGCAGCTGTTCATGGTGCAGAACTGGCTTCCACTGTGGCTTTCAAACATCTCTCCAGAGAAGGTAAGCAAAGATGAAAGGGAGGCACAGCCTTCTTGGGCAGTAGCAAAAGAGGGGTTAAAAAGACTTCATGCACATTATGTTCTACTGTACATTCAAGTCCCCTGCATTTCCTATGCTTGTCATTCATTTTGGTGGTTCTGAATTTCTAACTGAGCTGTTCCTTTCTTTGAATGTGCAAGTTCAGTCCTTGTCAAATTACTTCCAAGGTGTGGCTTCTGCTATATGCATAAAGTATCACTGAGCAACATTCTAAAAGAGATACTATATTGGTCTACACAAAGAATTATTCATTGAAGGCCAATCAGATAATCAGTTAGCAAGCACCGAGTAAAGGATGGCAAGTGAGGGTGCAGGTCTTTTTTCTTTTTAAAATTAGTCTACTTTGAAAATGTCCCTTACTTTTAAATTCATTGAAACACAGTCTGCTTTCAGCAAACCAGCCACCCTCTTGTGATTTCTTGTCAATTATTGTTATCCTCACCTGGAAAGAACTTTCAGTTGAAAGTGCTGTTACTATTCAGTTATCAGAAGTTAAATAATTGGAGGTGATTTCTGGCTGGGAAAAGAAACCCCATCCTACCTAAATATTTTCTTATCCCTTGCACTGAGCTACTCCTCTGCTTTGCTTTTTTTTTTTTTAAACAGCTACACCTTTTATTTTCCTTACAATCATTATGCATAGTCACTAACTGCGTGTGGTCCCTTTTAGGGTATTAGATTGAAGTGACTGTCATTTAGGCTGCAAGATAATTGACAATGATTGATGACACTGAAACGAGGTGTCCTGCACATGTGAAAAGTAGTCTCTAAAACAGAAGACTTTGGAAACATGAACATAAAAAAGGAAGGTGATGATATAAAAAACGTTGCTGCTTGAGCAAAGATTGGGTTGTGCTCTATTGCTATTGCTTTTCAGATATACATTAAGCATTTATAAGTGGAGGCTTGTTCCAGTCAAAATGAAGCAGGTCGATTCTCATACAACTCTTCCCATCGCTTAATGTTTCTATTATAGTAATTTGGATTGTATGGTGCAAATTCTACAGAACAGAGTCTGCATATTATTTCATACATTTTCTATGGCTAATACTCCTGACCTAAAGAATAAGGCAACTGTATCCTGACACATTAATACACTCTGAGCATATTAGGAAACAAAATACAATAAAATCACTCCTTCTATATGTATAATTTCAAATTTATTTTGGATTTTGTTTTAGACTTTTTAGAAAGCAAGGCAGTCAAATAGAAATCCATTTTAACTCAAAAGATATATACTTCCCTAGCTGACTATAATTGTCATTGATTATACAAAAGAAAAGCAGTTTAGCAAAATCTTCTAGTCATTCCTAAACATTAATCTCTTAAAACGTATTGAGCAAAGTATCATTGGATCATTTATTTCATGCTATTTATGCATATCATGAAAGAAAAATAAATAGCTCCAGAATGTATCACATCTCTTCACAAATGCAAGAATTAACTTGATTTAAAAATTAATTTCAATATATAGAAGTTTATTGTTTTCATGGAACAGATCCACCATCAATCTTAACAAAGAGCAAGACATTTTCTGGAGCAATAAACATATCAAGATTCTAATCCTATTAAAGTATCAATTGCCAATAAACTAAGAGAAGTGCTACCTTTTTAAAATATTTGAATTAAAATAAACAATACATTTATTTTAAAAATCTGAGCGTGTTACATATTACTTTGTTGTTTTATGGATCTTTTCTTCCTGTACGCATCTTATCCTTTTCTTCCATGGTCATAGGTTCCAGAATACCTTTTTCTGCATACTTTTGAGGAACTAAATCCCACTGAAAGATGTATTTTCAAATAGTTCTGCTTTGAGTTCTATGTTAGCTTTTCCTGACTAACATTTCTACCTCACTGGCCCAGTTTGAGCATTCACTGAATTATAAAAGTGCTTTTGATTTGAGTAGAGGTTTCACTCTGTTCACAGACACCAAGTCTTCATTTGGAAGGAAGGTTGTATGACTAACATTTACTTGAGTATTCCACAGATTTGTGAATTTTCAATTTCTCTGTTTGTTTAGTTTGGAGATGGAAAAAGCATATTTATTAAAACTAACAATTTTACCTAAAACGTTAATACTGAAATGATAGTGTCTTTGAAATGATTATATCAAATTGAGCTTTTTTTTTAACAGCATGGTCCATGTGGTTTTTGAAAATTAATAGAGATCAACTATTTTAAAGAAAATGTGATCCATTTTCTCTTTCTTTTTCTTCTGTAATATATATATATAAATCAGCCTTACACAAATTCTTCATGAAAAAATATATCCTTGTAGCAGGAAAAATGCACAAAGGCTATCGTAGTGGATAGCCTTTGTGCATTTTTCCTGCTACAAGGATATATTTTTCATTTCAAAGTGTTGCTGTTCCTCACCTGTAGAAATGTAGTAGGTGCCACAAACAGTTTGGTATTTCCAGTAAGCCTTGCTTCTTTCCTGCTGGTAAATGTTGAAGCAGGATAACCTTAGGGGTGGGGACACTGAGCTGAAGGAAGAGCCAAATTAAATGAGGTTGCTCTACACTGGCGTGAGTTTACTTATGCACACTGTCTTCAGTAAGCAAAGGTTTAAAAATGCAGTGAAGGCAAGGCTCTTTGACTTCCCCAACCCTAAACGTCTGTTGGTTGCTTGGGGATTAGATAGGAAGATGAACTTCCATAAATTCAAAGTATGTTTCTTTTTAAGCTTCCAATTGGTGTCATCTGTTCTAGATAAAACTCAGTGGAAAACATACTTATTTTGCTGGGCTTTGCAATTTGCACAATCCACAAAACTTGGCAAGAGTACAAAACTGCTTGAGGGAAGCTCTGATGCCAGGCTTGGAGGATACTGTTATGCCAAGCTGCTATTTTATTTGAAAGCCTTCCATGATGCAGGCAATGTGTACAAAATTAATGAAGTGCCATTTGTTTTTAAATGGAGCCAGCAGAAACTATTTAATAAATCAGGCCTAATATCAATTATGCTCTCACATGTGAGGAAAACAGCAAAAATCTGACAAAGAGGTCTGCCACTTATTACCTATAATAATAATAATAATAATAATAATAATAATAATAATAATAATAATAATAATAATAATAATAATAATAATAATAAATATAAATATAAATATAAATATAAATATAAATATAAATATAAATATAAATATAAATATAAATATAAATATAAATATAAATATAAAAATGTAAATGTTCGTTTGTTCAAAATCTTAAATCTCCGAAAGTTCTTCACCGATTGCTTTGAAATTTTCACACGACGTTGCATTCGAATATGCGCATGTTTTTATATACCTATATTATATAGATGTCAAATCTGTGACAGGTAAAACATGCTTTTTTTGAAAAACAGTGCCATCTGTTGGACATAAAAGCAACACACGCTTTTACCAGACTGAGCCACAGCAACGCGTGGCTGGGTACAGCTAGTAATAATAATAATAATAAAGTTGGAAGGGACGTTGGAGGTCATCTGGTACAACCCCCTGCTCAGGCAGAAAACCCTATACCATTTCAGACAAATGGCCATCCAGTCTCTTCTTAAAAACTTCCAGTGTTGGAGCATTCACTGCTTATGGAGGCAGGTTGTTCCACTGGTTAATTGTTCTGTAAGGAAGTTTCTCCTTAGTTCTAGGTTGCTTCTCTCCTTGATTAGTTTCCATCCGTTGCTTCTTGTCCTGCCTTCAGGCGCTTTGGAAAATAGCTTGACTCCCTCTTCTTTGTGGCAGCCCCTGAGATACTGGAACACTGCTATCATGTCCCCCCTCGTCCTTCTCTTCATTAAACTAGACATACCCAATTCCAGCAGCTTTAGCTTATATGCTTTAGCCTCCAGACTTCAGTCATGAGTTTTGGGGATAACATTTTCTTAGCCTTACCCCTCTGCCACTTTCTGAATAGTAACACTAGGAACTTACCCTAGAAGTCCTGGAAACTCTAAAAACAATATAAACACCGTGAAATCTATACATATAACACTGAAGAGTCTTATGCAAATTTTTTGTGCTTCACTATAATTTTCCAGATTACTTCTGTTAGAATATACCTTTCAAGAACAGGTGGTCCTTGATTTGCAACAGTTCATTTACTATTTGAAGTTACAACAGCACTTAAAAAGTGACTTATGACCGTTTTTCACACTTACGTCCATTGCAGCATCCCCATGTTCACATGATGAAAATTCAGACTCTTGGCAGCTGACTCATATTTATGACGGTTGCAATGTCCCAGTGTTACATGATTACTTTTTATGGCATTCTGGCAAGCAAAGTCAAAGGCTGTTAACTTAACAGCCGTGTTACTAACTTAACAACTGCAGTGGTCCACTTAGCAACTGTGGCAAAAAAATGGGGCACAAAATGGGGCAAAATTCACCTAACAAGTGTCTTGCTTAGCAACAGAAATGTTGGGCTCAATTGTGGTCGTAAGTCGAGGACCAACTGGAAAGCTAACAATACATTTTTCAATTAAATCACTTTGGCTTATCTACTCCTCCCTTTCTCCTATAAAACTTAAAATGAAAATAAATTCCAACGAATACTGCACTTACTTGTGTCAATGCCCAAGAGAGCTGCTACTGAGATCTCTTGCTGGTGTGAATACAGAATAACAGAGTTGGAAGGGACCTTGGAGGTCTTCCATTCCTACCCCCTGCCCAATTTTTGTCCTACAATTAGCCTAAGGGTGAATCAAGACATTGATACATCTGTCCCTACACTTTGGCCACCCCTTCTTGGCTTGAGGGGTGCTCTCCTATACTGCTGCCTGTTAAATTGCCTAATTTAAACAGATGAGATATTCAAGCCCAAAGAGCTTCTCTCTGCCCCATTATCTATAATCTTAGATTACAGATCCCAACAGCCCTCATACATTATAAAAAAGCTTAGTTAGTAGTGCTAACTAGTATAGCTTATTCAAGAGTTGCAGAAGGGCAAATGTCTAGATGTATGCAGAGCTC